AACATTGAGAGTAGTTTTAAAAAGGCTAAATTGTATGAAAAAATAACGTACTTTGACTTAATTTATATTTTGGGTAATGTACTTTCAAAACTTCTGTTTTAGTTTTTAAGATGTAAAGTTTTAAATATTTTAGTACCTGAGTAACCGGTTGAAACATTAACCGATTATCATGCTGATGTGGCGAGTGATGTGGTATCCAACTCAGTATTATTTGTTGACGTGGTTAGTGACATGGATTTTTTTAATCTAAAATTAGTCTTCTTTTTCATTTTAACATTTTTTCTAGACCATAGGAACCAAATCTATAATTAATGAAACTTTTTAAACTTGGTTTCTAGATCTATGTTAAAACCTTCAACATGAAACCTTCAAATCTTGAAAAACTTAGGGTTTCTAAGTTATGTTTGAGGATTTTTCTTGAAAAAAAGACTAATTTTAGATTAGAGTTAAATACAAATTTGGTCCCTGTGGTTTGTAAAAATTAACGACTAACGTCCCTCAAAGAATCTTTTAACGACCAACGTCCCTGTACTTTCCATTTTATAACAGATAGGGTCCCTGTTAGTAACGGCGTTAAAAAAAAAGTATAGTTAAGAAGGGGTAAATTTGTCAATTCTTATTTTTTTAGTTTTGATAACAAAATTGGTGCCGCCAAAATCAGACATTAGAAAACTTTAATCATTTATAACATATTTGGTCCTCTTTAATTTTAAATGACAAGTAAATTTAATTTTGAATTTGATCCTTGTGATTAATAAAGACAAATTAAATAAAAATAGCATATCATAAAATATTTGGTCACTTTAAAAGAAGACATTATATGGCAACAAATAAGAGATGATTTCATATTTCTTTTAAAGAAAAAGCTGCTACAAAAATAACCCCAAATCAACAGCTACAAAAACCAACCTGAAAGTTGCTTCAAAAAATAATATCAAAATAGCAACAATTAGCTCCAAAAAGTTAAAAGGGGTAATTACAGCAAGTTTTGAACAAAAGAAAAGCACAYTTCACAAGTTAAAGTTCTTGTCCTTTGCATGTGCGTGAGTTGTGGCCTTGTTTCTTGCACTTTGTACACCTTACAGTTATACCAACCCTTCTAAGCTTCACTCCTGCTTCGGTCAACTCTCCAAAAGACTTCATCCTCTTCTTCTTGGGCCTACCCACTTGGGTGTGATGTGTTGGTGGAGTGAGTCTAGTTGGACATTCAAACTTAGCCCACATCTCTCTTCCAGTAATTGGAACAATTTTAAAGGCATACATGGCCTTCCACGTACGCAACAAGTATATTGGGTGAAACCATTTTTCAAAATTATCCACTTTTGCACCAGTATTTCTCATGTCCCATATGGTAGCCATGGCATGTTTGCAGGGAATGCCAGTCAATTCCCATCTTTTGCAAGAACATGTTTTCTCACTAATATCTACTACACACTGGTCCAACCAAGGACCATTCACCTCGTACTTGTAGCCCCCATTCCAAATTACGGTGTAATCGATAGCATCTTTCTTCAGTTGTTCCAACAYTTTGGTTGCTGTCGGAGTAAGAAGGCCATTAGCTTTGTCAATCACCATTTGGACATTCACAATTCTCTTCATGAGGTACACTCTTATAAACTCCAAACATGTAATAATTGGCTTGTCCYTTCCATCAACTAGTTGTCGGTTGAATACTTCACAAATGTTGTTCAACACCACATCTGTGTGACTTCTTCCTAGAAATGCATAACAAATATAAATTATAGAGCATACATATAGGAGAAATTATAAAGAGCATAAATATATTAACAAAAAAATCTAATAAAAAATGCTAACTCTAGCCTGTGAAATGAGATCTAGCCCAGTGATGTGGGGGAATCTTCTTCAACCACTCATATAATCCAATATCAAGTTTTTTAACTTTGTCCATCTCCTTGTCAAATTGTGGGATGGTTGTTGCGGTTGCACACATCCATAAATGATCTTTATACAACTTCCCCTTCCAAGTATGTTTCATGTTTTCATGGATGTGTCGTAGGCAAAATTGATGTTCTGCAAGCTCTCACATACCTAGTTGGAAGACATTTATGTGTCTCCACATAAGTTTTGACCAGCCATGTTTCATCATATTTACCCCTGGATACATGTAAAACCCAAGGACATGATGGTCCACTTTCCTTTACTTTTTTACCTTTACTAGGCACATCAATTAATTCATTCATGTTACGAAGGGTTCCCCCACATACAACCCTTATCCTCACCTTGTCATTCTTAATTACATAAATTTGTCTTTGTCTCTATTGCATGGATGTCAATCAATTTTTTTACTTCCTGTTTATTTCCAAATACTTTACCAACAAAGAAAGGAGYTGAACACCTATGATCACTTCCACCACTATCTGCCTTATTCCTTCTCAGATTCTTCAATTGTTTTTTCCTATCTGTCTCTAATTCATTTTCATCTGAGTTGCTCTCGAAATCTTCCAAGTTAATTGTATTCGCATCCCCTTCAACATTAGAGCTTACAATCATCATATCATTCTTCCCAACCCATTCTACATCAAGATCARTGTTTAATCGAAAGGTGTTCATGTCTACATCAATTTCATCAACAAKATTATRAGGTTCAACCATGAAGTCACTGTCTTCACTACTTTCACTCTCTAATTTCTCGTCTTCACCACATGTATCCGCTATTTCGTAGCAGGTAGGTTYCCAAAATKGATCAAAAGAATCAGTAATCATTTCAGCATACTCTGCCTCACTCAATTCATTTGTCTCAATGCATTTYCCCACCTCAATGGCCAATTCATGCTCAATATATATATCAAATATTTTACAGCCAGGAAAGTATTTCAAAAGATTTAACACATCCTCATCATTTTGTAAAGCTTTCAGACCAAGATCTAAGTTTAGATTAGGAACTCTAAAATGATAAGATGTTGGTAAATGTTTCCTATATCCAATCTCTTGCAACATTGCCTGCAACTCATGTATAGAAAACTCATCTGTATCTACCAAGTCAATAATATCAAGCTTACCATTTATATATTTCATGTCAGGAGCTTTGGTGAACAACCCCCCATGATGTATCTTCAAGCTAAGCAATGTAGGATAAGAATCTGTTGAAAACATTGCTTTATAGTCGAGATTAGCATTTGTTTCATCTTCAAAACAATGTAGGATAATCATCTTTTGACTCTCATCTTTTTTATCTTCAAAAAAAAATCATCACTCAAAAAACCCACTGTAAAATATATGTATGAATAATGGTTTTAAGAAAAGATTAAAAAGGAAAAACCCACTCAAAAAAA